CAGATGATATGTGGCAAGACGAACAACTTAACAAGATCATGGTGGAGAGCCAAGACTTTAAAACCTAAATGTGGCATTTCTGTCCCAACTAACAAGGCATAACTGATGTTAAATCGAAACCTTGAAAGATACAGTGGATAGCAAGGTCTAAACATAGCTTGCAGAATCTGGCATGTTGCTCAAGCATACCTCCTGAGTCTAAAGAGAAACGAGATGGGTGGCAGACCCGAATACCCCGCAATAGGTAACTTGGTAGCACAAAACCAACTGTCTATTGCTAAATTGCGTTTACCAACTACCATTGAGTATATTTACAAGCTTGCAGTAGATTTTGCCACTGTGTTTGATTTCCTTAAAGATAAGCCAAAATGCCTGATAATCACAAAAAATATGCTGAAAATCGCCTTTTTCGCTCGAAAAACACGGGCCTGTATTCCGACGCACTCTCCAGAAAGCGTCCAGAAATATATATATATATATATGTTATATATGTTATATCATACATATATATATATACATATATTATGTCTGGAGTTGAAGGTTTCGGATCTTATGGATTAGAGGGCTTGAGGAGTTTGTTTCTGGCGTGTTCTATTACTTATTACTTGTGCATTCCGGCAAGTTGCGCTTGTGAATGTGAACTATCACTCATGTCTATATATATATACATACCTACATACCTACATACCTACATACCTACATACCTACATACATACATACATACATACATACATACATAGATACACACATGTGAGTGTGTTTGATAGTTTCTGTCTTTGCCGACGTACTTGCTTGCTGTGTTTGTCGCTTTGAACAATTGTGATATATGGGAGGTTGAGAGGTTGCTACTGGTCGAACCCAGACGTGCGCACGGTTCTCGGCTCGGTGTTCGTTTCGCTGAGGGTGTTGAGTTTTATCACACGTGTGGTCTCGGGTTCGGGCTTGGCGCGGAGGGGTAAGGGTTTGGGGTTTGAGAACCCCAACACTGCCACAGTGTTTGTTTCTCACGATAGAACCCAAATAAAGCCGGTCGTATGCATGGTCACATACACTCGCACACAAAACTCACACCCTAAACCCCTGAACACCTACACCCTGAAACGTCATATCCACCCTAAACCCTAAACCCTAAACATTAAAGCCTGAAGAAGAAGCACTGGCGACAGGCCGCGTCGGCATCGCGTTTGGGTCCGTGGAGCATGGAGGCTTTGCGGGCTGGCCGCAGACTGTTCCTTGGCTCTTGGGGTTTTACAGTGCTTGGGCGGTTTATTGCGGACACATCAGACAGGATGCTGACATGCCTCTCGTGGCCTATTCAGCGAGCAGGGAACACGGCTTGGGCGGTTTAGGGTTTGGGGTTTTAGGGTTTAGGGTTCGGGGTTTAGGGTTTAGGGGCCTTCAGGCATCGGGTTGTGGGGTTTAGGGATCAGGATGTAGAGCCATGGGATTTAGGGCTCAGGGATGTGTTGGTTACGAAATTTTGAGAGGGTTGGAGACCGCCGCATGGCTTGGAAAATCAGGAGCTCCGGCTTGCAGCATCGAAGCCCTGAGGTTTCAGCACGACTTGCTGTGTGCAGCTTTCATCTGCCAAGTGAAGCTAGTTTCTCGGTGCACCAACGTGCGCCGTCTTTCCCTCCCTCCCTCCCTGCCTCCCTCCCTGCCTCCCTCCATCTCTCTCTCTCTCTCTCTCTCTCTCTCGCTCTCTGTCTCTCTCTCTCGCTCTCGCTCTCACGCTCCCTCCCATATTTTTGTATGTATATAGACACGCACATGTATGCCTGCACGCATATAGGGGCTGTTAAGAGAGAACTTGATTTGTAATAGCATGCAGAAACCGATTACTTGAATGTTCTGGATCCTCGCATGAGCACCGTTGAGGCTGCTAAGACCCGCATAGCCATCCGTAGTTTAAGCCCAAGTTAAACACCGACACAAACGTTCAATCCTTAAACCGCCTGAACTAAGTAAGCCCAACACCCTAAACCCCCATAGCGAGCAACAAGAAGCAAAATGCACTGTGAACCCGGAAAGAGAGATTTCAAAACAGAGATGATCACAATAGCAACGATAGTAATAACATGTAATGGCGATACTACTACTGCTACTACTAGTACTACTGCTGCTGATGCTGCTACTACTCCTCCTCCTGTTACGGCGACCACGACGACGACTACTAATCATAGTAGAACTAGCTCCGGCGAAGCAGAGGCTCAAGTCGGAGGTGTTCGCGACCGAGCTGGAGATGAAGTCTCTGAGCCCTGTCTTGCAGAGGCCTCGTTGCCCGGGCGCCTTCCTATAGTTTTAGGGGGTTACAGGGTTTAGGACTTAGCGGGGGTTTAGGGTTTTCGGCTTAGGCCTCAGGGCTTAGATGTTGGGGCTGAGAGTTTAGGGTTTAGGGGTAAGGGGTTTGGGTTTAGGCTTTAGCGCTCTTCTACACACCTTACAGAACAGTGCCCTTGTGATTGTATAGCTTCCTCATGGAGGAATAACCGCACAAAAAAAAACCTAAACCCTCAACCCTAAATAGTGCCCCATAGCAACCGGCCCAGCAGGGACCTCAGCAGCCCAGGAGCCCTGTTTGGCTCCTACCGATGCGACCGTTCTACGGCCAGGAGCCCTTCGGCTGTTTCACTCGTAGTTCCTTCAAAGGTGTAACCTTAAACTCTCAACCCTTAAACTCTATACACTTCAAACTCTCAACCCTAACCCCTACACCCTAAACTCTCAACCCTAAAACTCTGTACAGTTCAAACTCTCAACCCTAACCTTACACCCTAACCCCCAAACCTTCCTTTAAGGTTTCAGGTTTAGGGCCGGCTTTTGTTGCGGAAGGGCTTTGGAGCCTCAGGGTTTCGAACGGTTATGGATTGGCGGGGCAGCAGAGCTTTCAAACTATCCGGACGGAATATAGGGGCCTAAATTAATGTTCGACATTATTTTTGATGGCTCCTTATTATAACTATAGTATAACATACCCCAAGACCAATTATAATCTCCGGTGTTCACGGGGACCAAAGTTCGAGGTAATGCAGGGGCCTTCATAATTAGATTAGGATTTTGGTGTATGTTATACTATACTTATTATCAGGAGCCACCAAGTCAATATAGGTAACTGTTTAGGCCCCTATATTATGTCCGCAGATTATAAGTGAGAGGGACCCTGCAAATAAGGTAGGGTTTGGTAGCTCGAGGTAGTGGCCTGCATGGTTAGAGTAGATGTTTGGAATTCAGGATTCCTGCTTCATGATACGTTCCACATGGGAAATCTACGGCCAATTCCAAGGACTCTTTCATTCACCCTTGAATGAAAGATTAAAAGCCCAAACCCTAAACCCTAGGCCCTGCAAGCAAAGCTAAATCCAGGTCCCTGGTCTTTGTGATCTTCTCTCTGCGCGGCTTTACCTATGCACCGACGTCGCGGCTGCGGGTGAAGTTGCCAAGAGCTCAGATGGTCTGTGGAGTTTTGGGGTGCAGGTTAGTTTTGGTTGTGCCTTATCTCGAAATCTTCATGATCAATCAGGATTAAGTATCTCTAGGGTCTCGTCAAGCTCACATCTTGAAGGTCTTGTGGCTCTGAATTCTTGCGAGCAGCAGACACTGCAGGCTTGCTTCGAGTATGGCTTCGCCCAAACAACAGCCAAGTTTGAATGATGATGTGACGGCAACGTTCCTACATGGTCACCATGGCACCGTGGCGATGTGCCAAGATTCCCTAAGCCCCGAAAACTCGAAACCCCTGAACTTCTGAAGGGTAGATCAATAAGCACATATTCAGGCTATACCAGAGCCATCACGAACCCGTAATGCCCCGAAAAATCTAATTCAATGAAGCCTACAAAAAAAAACGCACTTATGCATTCAGAATAACCCCTAAACACTTAAAAACACCCATAAACCCATAATGCCCCTAAACCCTAAATTCTAAACCCTAAGAAAACACATCATGAACCCATCGTGCACCCCAACAAGCACTAAAAAGCACCCCACAAATCAGAAACATCACTTTCAGACCAGAAAGCTCTGCTGAGGGCCCCCGGAGGCGGCGCAGAGCGACTTCGCTTCTTGAGCTGCGAGCGCCAGGAGTTTAGGGGTTTAGGCTGGGTTCAGGGTTTAGGGTTTAGGGTTTAGGCAGGGTTGAGGGTTTAGGGTGGAGTTAGGGTTTATAGGGTTTAGGGGAGACCTAAACCTTAACCTCTTGACCCCGAATCACCTGCCCTTGAGTGTTCCTTGGTTGCTCTGTTTTCCTTGCAAAAGTCCTTGAAAAGATAGGTTCTTTTGGGCCAGAGGTATAGCCCTAGACCCCTAGAGCCTAAGCACTTTTCTCTAGATCCCTTGTTGGAACCCTTATAGATCTTTTATGGGCCTTATGGGAGCCCGTACAGATCCCTTCTCCCTATACCCTAAACCCTAAACTTTATACCGGCCCTAAACCCTAAACTTTAAACCGAAAAGCTAAGCTTGAAAAACCCTAAACCCCAAACTTTAAACCCTAAACCCCTTATCCCCAGACTCTTTCTCCAGGAGGCGCTGTTCCGTCAGGGCGCCTGGGCGCAGCCCCTGACCTTCGGAACCGAGGCGCCTTCTTCGCGTTTCTCCACTGAGGTTTAGGGTTCAGGGTTTAAGGGGAGGTCTAAAGAGGGGCATCTAAAGGCTCGAAAATTTCAAGGTTTGGGGTTCAGGGCGTAGGCTCGAAAATTTCAAGATTAGGGATTAGGGTTTTTGGGAATGTCTTAAAAGGTGCAATTAAAGGTTCGAAAATTTTAAGGTTTAGGGTTTGGGTAATATAGGGGCCGTAATAAGACATAGATTGGTATATCTTCGGGCTCCTTAACTGATTTCTAGTCGTATAGTATATTACAGTAGAATCTACCCCATTCTGATTTTTCAGACCCCCTACATGAAGGTTTTTGGTAAATGCAGTGGCCTTAGTAGCGATTAGAATAGTATTCTTCAGGGTTCCTCAATACAAGGAAGCAAAATATACCTCAACAACCCAGGGGCCAAAATTATGATTCGAGTAGGGTTCACTAGGGTACCTTACTGTTTGTATGGTGTAACATTCCTTGAAACCCCCTTCTCATCATTCAGGCCCCCTTATTCGGGGCCTTTTGCAGGATGCTTATCGGGCTTATTTATAGGGCGTTGCCAGGGCTTCATAGTGTGTTCCGGCTGGCGTGCTTAGGGTTCGCTTTGCGGTGACGCGACCAGCAAGTCCCCTGTTCCTCAAGCCAGGTGTGTTGATTTGAAGTGAGGATGGCTTCTTATGCTGCAAGATTGACCCCAAACTCCCCTCGTGGCCTTCTACACGCTCCGGAAAAAATGACCGACAGAAGTTCGTGAGTAGAGGTATCTCAAGAGAAATTCTAGTTAGATACGAGTCTCGGAACCGCCCCCTGCCTTGCGGACTTGAGGCGTTTGTGGCCTCCGAGGCAGGATGGGTGCAGAAAACACCGCCGGATGCTGCGTCGTAGCCGCCCGCAGGGTCTGACTACAAATGCAACGGGATAATATAAGGGCCTACATAATTACCTATATTATGTTGCGGGAGACTGTTTATATTTATCTTATAAATATACCCCAAATCCCTATTCTAATCATTAAGGCACCTACAGTACCAGCAATTCTTGGTTGGGGGGAATTTCGTAAGCAGGGACTGTCGCTTCAGTGTGTTCAGGAGGTGGTGTCCAAGTATCTAGGCTTACCGCCAGAATCAGATGGAGTATTCCTGATTCCCTTCTTCATGCTTCTGATATGGGCTATACCTGCAGTAACCTCTACGCCAAAACCCTATTCTCATTATTGATCCCTTGGTTAATGGCCTTCGAGTCCAGGCTTATCAGGCCCAGAAAACCCTGCGTTTACGGCTTAGGGCTTTGGGGTTCAGGCTTGTTTAGGGCTTGTGAGCTCGAGGGTTCGAGGGGTTACATGGGGTGACGAGCTGTAGTCCTCACCACCCCAAAATTCGACAGGCCAACTCCCGATACCTATCATCCTAAATCCTTCAAGCCCCACATCCTAACGCCTTCAGCGTTTACGGCCCTAGATCCGACGCCAAAAAAATCCGAATCGCCAAGCCTGGCTCGTTGAAAGCTATTGTAGAAGCCTGAATAACAACCAATATTATTCCTCAGCGTTCCTTATACCTATTCTGCGATCTCCCAAAACCGTCCTCTGTGTAAAGAGGCCCCTGTTTTTGAGGTGGTTTCACCAGCGTCGGCGCTGGTGCCCGTGGCCTTCGATAACTGTGTCCTCGGCGGCCAAGGCATCCTGCAAGTGTTTCGAGTTCAGGGTTGAGGATTTAGGTCGGGGAACCTTGGGATTTGGGGTGTTAGAGAGATCTGAGAAGGAGTTATGGGGGCTTCATATGTTTTTTTGTATTTAGGGGTTTGGGCTTAGGGGTCTTTGAGATAGATTTAGTAAGTAGGCCTGGGAAACTTTACACTGTTTGGCCGTACTGGGCCTAAGAGGATCTTGTTTACGAAAATGTTCCCGAAGCTTTAAACTGGCCAAACCTAGTTCAGAAGGCCTCATGGGGTCTTATAGGGTGTTTAGTGGTTGTGCTTCTCGAATTTCGTTGGTCTCTTGGGGGTCTCAGGGCATGGGGTTTTCGCATTGTAAAGATTCAGGGGCTGAGTTATGCTGTTTTCAGATAAACGGTTTCAATAGGGGTGCCCTAGACCCTAAACCGTATAAGGTTCTAACAGTCGGAAGTTGGAGTTCAGGGTGTAGGGATTTTGGATTCAGGGCTCAGGGTGCACAAGGCCCTAGGCCCTAAACCCTTTAAGCACAAACTCGAAACCCTAAAACCCTGAACGTGCGTGGTCGGTATAATTCTAAAACCCTAAACCCTAAATTCTTTAAACACAGACCCTAAACCCTAACCCAAAAAAGAGCCGACAGGCACCTCTGCCGCATCCGATGCCAATGAAAGCTCCATGCAAAGCTTCGAGGCATATCGAGCCATCTTTCAGTTTGAGGTTCGGCTTTTTCAGTGTTAAAGCTAGGCGTTAATTACTTAGATGTTTAGATGGTTGTTCATAGTATCTTTAGAAACTGATTTCGCATTTCGTGCAGTCAGGGGCAACTTATAATGTGGTTCGACTCGGGGTTTAGGGTTTAAGGGTTTAGGGCCCAGTTTCGTGTGCTTGCAAGGTCTGTAGATCTCACTCTCTAACCTTTCAGGTGGAGAGGAAGATTGCGAACATGAAATACATACGCATACACGGCATATATGTATGTATATATATATATACAAACACATCTGCACCGTTTGATATTTCATACGTATGCAAAGAGTATACATATAGACATATTATAGATGCACGCCCTGAAGAGACCACCTCAATTCCAACAGCACCCCTCTACAGTACGTTTCTTATCCGATAGAGCCAATGACAAGGGCTGCTCTGTGCCCACTTGCTGCAGTACACTTGTATGTAATATGGAAGCCTGAATGATGGCCAACATCATTCCTTCATTAGGGTTCTACACTGTAATGACACCAAAATATACCCCAGAGGCCCATATTCTAATTATTGAGGTCCCCATACCGCTGCTTAGGATTTTGGGCAGCAGCATGCGAATGCAGCCTTGATGGCAGGGCGAGAAGAAGCTAATATGGGGGCTTAAATACTTACTTACTTTGTGGGGGTGTTCCGTCGTATTTTTACGGTATACCCCAAAGCCCATTCTATTCAGAATCATTAAGGCCTCTGTAGTAGCCCCACTCGCACAACGCCCATGAATCGATAAAATACAGGGGGCCTTCAGAAATAGAATAGGGTTTGGGGTTCTATAATACAATAAGTATAATAAGGAACCCACAAACTAGTATAGGCAATTATTCAGGCCCCGACATTAGTGCGACTTTTGACCATTCACCGACCTGCTAGGAGCTCCAAACCAGGTGGCGCTCAACAACAGGACGCGGCGATGTTGCGTGCAAGAAGATAGAAGAAGAGAAAGAGGCAGAGATTCTATATATATATATATATGTATGTATGTGTATGCAAACTCTTTAGAAAGTTATATATACATATGTGTATATATAGATACACATATGTGCATATGTATTGACATTGACATGTATAGCCATGTATTCTACGGCAGTTCAACGGACATTGCCGTACATGGTGCCATGCATACACGTACACACACACACACACATTCCTGCTTGCACAGTCTGCGACAACAGCAGTCGACATGAAGCCAAAGTGCTTGCGACAACACCGTTGCAAGATCGCTGGCGGCGGGGGGATCGAAACCCTAAACCCAAGCCGGAAGCCCTAAACCCCAAGCCGTAAACCTTAAACTCTAAACCCCAAACCGCAAACCCTAAGCTCTTGACACCCCTTGGGTTCTGGAGGCTTAGGACCGGTGACTCGTGCCCAAGGCCCAAGGCCACAGGGATTTCCAGGACTCCTACCAGTCAGAGGTTCTTAACTTTAGGGGTTTAGAGTTTAGGGGTTTAGGGTTCAGGGTTTAGGGTTTAGGTACAACCCCCAGCATCAGAACTCCAACTGCTGAAATCCCAGCCTTCCAACCCCCACAGAATTGAAGCCCTGACAACACCCCTATGTAACCAAAGAGCCCCGCCAAAAAGAGCAGGATTGGAGATCACCCTGCGCCGCTCCGGCGGCAGAGTCAGTTTTTGGGGATTTCTTGCCCAAGACCGTTTAATTTTCAGCTCATCGGAATTATTTGTAAGAGTGCGTACTTCTGATTTCGGACAAGGGACAAGGCTAGAACAAGCCTCAAGACAGACTGTCAGGGTGATTCTGAAAAGTGGCGCAGCAACAGCGTAGCGTGCTAGAGTTAGACTGCAGACATGCCACACAAGAATGTCGATCACCGTGAAGCCTTAACCCCAACAGTTACAAGTCGCTTTACGACATTGGCGATGTCCAACAGTTTCGGTCTTGGTATCGGTGGCCGTGCAGACTAACCTCGCGTCATCCTTGGCGAGGTGTTTACTCTACCAATCTGCACGAACCCTTCCTTCACGATGTGGACTTTGACCAACAGCATGAGCATGGTCCTCTTGTTGATGATATGTGATGTTGATGACGCTGATTCTGATACTGGTGGAAGGTGTATCGGGCTTTCAAAGACTTTGTACCACTGCCATTCACTCCGAACGGAAAGAGCTATCCTAAAAATCGTATCTGGGACCGTGAATACACTTACCATTGTCGTTTCTGCAAGTACGTTGACGACGACGGCGATGACGATGGCCAAGGCGACGATAAGGGCAAGGACTACGATTGCTCTCGCGCGAGCTTTCCGATGTCGAGCAACAGGGCACGCAGCTGAGGTTTGCAGACGCAGCTGGACCCAGCGTCGGAGCAGTACGTGCTTCAGACACCTGGCTTTTGCTCGTATAGTGTTTGAGGTTCACGCGTCCTGACACACACAGATCGGCGTGGCGTTCAGAATAGATCCATGGTGAATCATGAGACGATGATTCTTGTCCTAGTGTTTGTACACAGCCAGTTATCATGATTCATCTTCGTGCCGTGACGGTTGGGATTTCTCGAATCACTCCCACCTCCAAAACACCGAGCCTAAAGTCTAAGCAGACTCTAAACTCCAGATTAAGCCTTACAACTTATCAACATAAACCCACATGGAGAACTTTTGAAACCCTTAAGCTTCATCAGATAGTAGCTTCGACTCAACACCATTGAGGAGCCTGCTTCTGTCGCTGTTGAAGGCAACCGAAGACAGAAGTCGCGTAAACGATGGGGTGTGTACGGCTTACATGAATTATGTGGCTTGGAATCCAGGGTTTTAAGGTTTAGGCCTTCGACCTGCTTAGTAACCAATATCCTTGAATAGAAGCGTTTCTGGAATACGTCAACACTAATTACTCTACGCAGCAGTGGTGTAGCCTTTCGCCTCAATTTTCCATCTTTCATCTGTGCAGTCTTTCTCAGCCTCTGAAACCAGAGCGATGGCTCCAATCTTTGCACATGAGTTAAGCGCTTAGCGTCTTCTGAGTGCGTGAGTGAGTGAGTGAGTGAGTGAGTGAGTGAGTGAGTGAGTGAGTGAGTGAGTGAGTGATGCTTCGTAACCCTGAAACCGAAATCTTAAACCCAAGACCCCTATACCCCCGCAAAACTTCATATCCCCAAGCTCCACCACCCTAAGCCTATACCCTGGCATCTTAAACGCCATAATACGACGCCCTTTGGTTAAGACTGCCATAAATGCCAGTATCCCGAACCCCCACCCCCCACGGTCCGAAGCCTTAAGGTTTCGAACTACGTGGCATAGGCCCGAAACCGTAGACCCTAGTTAGGGTTTTGGGTTTGAGGTTTTAGGGTTTCGGGCTTTAGGGTTTCGGGCTTTGGGTTTGGAGTTGTGGGTTTTGGGTTTTGGGTTTCGGGTTTTAGGGTTTAGGGTTTCGGGTTTCGGATTTCGGGTTTTGGGTTTAGGGCTGAGGGTTTTGGGACACCCAAACCCCCCCAAAACCGGATGGGGCCGGAGCTCAGGATCGCCTTGCTGAATCCGTCCCTGCGGCTTGGCCTTCTGAAGCGGGGGCTCTGGGCTTTTAGGGCACTAGGTTTAAGGGTTTAGGGTTTAGTGCACTAGGGTTTGGGGGTTCAGGGGTTTAGGGTTTAGGGGCCTAGGGTTAAGGGCATTCTGTGGAGAAGTTTTGAGATGGTGCGTAGGTAGTGAAGAAGGCACCCAGTAGCATGTGGGTTTAGGATCCTTAAGGGAGGTGGTTCAAGGAGGGGATTGCTAGGTTCTATACCCGCCTTGGCCTTACCCTCTTTTGTGGATCCCATGATTCGGGCTCATGGTCCCCAGTCTGGAGCTCTTTGCAAGATTAGGCCTCGGGATGAGTCCAAATCCTAAAGCCCTCGACCCCACGACTGACCTAAATTCCGACGCCCTGAAGCCCTAAACGCTACAAAACGCCCTTAACCCTATAAAACCACACAAAGCCCAGACAGAAATTCCTACGCTTTCCAATATGCCCGCAACCTTTAAACGCCATAAAGCCTACAAACCCCAAACCCTAAACCCGAAACCCAACAGAAATCCAAGCGTGGGCTGCCCAGATCCAATGCGGGCTCCGCCGCTCACGACCACATGGTGCTGGAGGCCACTTTCCTTTTAGGGTTTAGGGTTTGGGATTAATGTAGGGGCCTTTTTACAATAGAGAACGCTAAGTGAGAAGATTGGTAAGTATCCAAGCTTCTATACTAAACCGAATATTCAAATCTTGAAATCCCGAAATGAAAGCACCGAAATGGAAGCCAACACCCTGAAGGCCGAAAAAATGAAACGGAACCCCAAACCCTAAATCGTCAGGAGCCCGAACAGAAACCCGACCGCCCCAGACATGGAACCCTACACCCTAATGCCAACGGAGCAAGAACTCACGGATGGTGTTGCTTAGACTTGATGCGTGTGGCTTCCTCCAAAAACTGCAGCATCGACTAACGCCAATTCCGTTAAAGTCTATACGGAGATTTAAATGTTGGCCTAAGAATCGGAGGTTGAGTAGCATATGCAACAGCCAGAGGCACCTGTCCATGTCCACAAGCATGAAGCCGGTGCTTGCGAACATCCAACCGATTTGATAAATAGAGAGAGAGAGAGAGAGAGAGAGAGAGAGCTTTGAGTCATATACGGGCCTTGATAATTAGAATAGGGCTTATGGGCCCATTCATTTTTCATTTTAAATAAGGCCCCTACATTGCTGTAGCCACCTTGGGTTTAGGGTTTAGGGAGCATTCGAAAAAAACGACTTGTAGACAACATGCAGGTCGTCGATGGAATCGACGAAGCCGCCGCCCGGCCCAATTTGGCTTAGTAAAGGGGCCTGGATAATAATCATTGAGAGACTGTCCTGAACGTCCCTATATACTTAATTGCATATGAAACTGTGGAGGCCCCTTCACCCGAATTCTTCAACTCCAATAATAATCCGATTAACATTTAACCATGGGATCCTGGACCCTGCAAGCCGCAAACCGCAAGAGACCCCAAAACCAAAACGGCTAGACCCCGAAACTCTGTCATTCATCCCCAGCACGCCAAAGACCCCAGAACCAACAAAGCCAAACACCTAAACTCTCTGACTCCAAACCCTCAACCATTCAAAACCCTGCGAAAAGTCATACAAAGTCTTATGAATCAAGAATTGCGTTTACACAGGCGTAAACCTTCAAAGATCCGAGAAGCAAGGGAAATGTCCAAACACTAAATCTCTACAACCCCAGACAGCCCAAACTTCAATAGAACCGAAAGAACAGCCGCATGGAGCCCTTGTAAAGTTCCATATCTGCAGAAACCGCTTACAGGACCCCATAAACCCCCTATAAAACGAGCTTCCTGAATAAACCCTTGATCAAACCAATGCAGGAGCGTGTTGCGGCCCGGTCTGCGGATCTTCGCACCTACGCCCTGGCGAGCGACACCGAGCCGACGACAGTTGTGTAAGGGGCCTCTAAGTTCTTCAAGGGTTTCTGTGAGGGTTCTATAGGGTATTGAAAGGATATGTTTTTTTCAAAGGATGCCTTTTTTGTAGATAGCTTTAACTTCTCTTACAGGATTCCATTGGCGGATTACGAGGGTATGTTACTAATAGTATGCTCAATGATGGGTTTAGGGTTGAAAGGTGTCCCTAAACCCCAAAGACCCCAAACCCTAAACCCTTTTGTAGGGGTGAACTCTATAAGGATATGTTCATTTGAAGCTGGGACGCCTCGTTCTAGATCCCAACAGAAGATGGGGATGGGTTTAGGGGGGTTCTAGGTCCCAAAGCCCAAGAATCGAAGGGTTCCATGTGAAGAGCCCGAATTTAACAAGAGCCGGGACTTGTTATTCAAGTTGCTGCATCTTCGACCGCGCAAAGGATTCTGGGCCGGGGAGGTTCTCGGTCCTTTGGGGTTCTTTAAGGTCCTTTACGGCGCAAGGGTAAGCATCCACCCAAGAGTCCTATGTAGCATGATGCATCCATGGATCACGGATTTCTGACTTTTACAGTGCAACATACGCATCACGAAGGAAATGAAGATCACGCGCTGGAGCTACAGCACCTCTTACACGTCAGCACGGGCCTTGGACGGTCGATGTTAGAGATGTTGGGATGGGCAGAGGCTTTTGGGGGCGAGCTGCAAGATTTGGTGGATTTTGCTCCGGGGCACCCCTTTGTCCTAACACGTTTCCTGCAATCCTCACGTGACGCTCAACAGGCTTAGGGTTTAGGGTCTAGGGCCTACTGTAGGGTGTGGACCAATCGCCTTCTCCCAAGCCTGCCTACTATTCCTTAGGGCCTCCCATTAGTATTCATATATGCATAAATACGCTGCACATACATATACTGTACCTTGAAAACTTATTCAGCTGATTACGGCCCCTGGATGAAACCCCTACCCTCAACTCTCCAATCTACTGCAGGCCCCCCTAAAGCCTCAAACGCTAAAAACCTAAACCCTACAACCCTAAGCCCTAAAGCCCTAAACGCTAAAGCCCTAAACCCCAAAACCCTAAAACCCTGAGGCCTGGAATAGCCTCGTCTTGGAATTCCAGCCTGTGACCGCCGTCGCAGAGAGACAGGCGCGACCCCCCAAAGCCTAAGGCCCTAGAGCCGTATGATAGAGCCCCTTGTTTGTATCCCTTTTCAGGCACCAAGCCGGTTATGATAGTTTTTTTTATAGTAGCCAGTAGCCCTTTAAAGGAGCCAAGCCTTCATGATATCTTCAAGTAAGCCCGAAACCTCCATTGGAGCCCTACACTAGCGCTTTCAGGCAGAAGCCGTTGGCTTCTTGCTGCTGGCACCACCCACATTCGTCTTCACAGCGAGATCCTGTGGCCTGGCGAGCTCTGGGAGCTTGTCATTTCTTGCAATCGTGACAACTGTCGGTACTTTCCTTTGCCATTATGGCTACTGATATCCGTGTTCTCCATTGATGGTATTCGCACGGGTTCTTCCTGTTGTCACTGTCACTGTTGAGAGATGGCTTCCCCAGTCGAAGATATCGTATGCAAGAACGGTGTTGCTCCTGGTTGTAGCGTTGCTGGGCGGTAGTGGCAGTGATGGCGGTGGTGGTGCTCGGGTCGTGGCGATGATGATGCTAGTAGCGGTTGTCGGGGTGGTAGCAGCGGTAGTGGTAGTAGTAGCAATGATAACAAGACTAATGATAGTAAGCGTAGGAGAATAGGAGTGACAGGAGGAGCGAGTAGAGTAGCGAGGAGCAGCGGTAGGAGGAGGATGAGGAGGAGAAAAAGGCAGCAGCGACAGCAGCAGCATTGCCAATGTGGACAATCGTCCACTGCAGCGGAGGTGAAGACATCGTCCTGCAACGGAACCTGATGACGGAAGACCTGTTGACGGGCCTGCCGCTCAGGTTGTAGATTTGCGAGGTTCGGAAGACCGTAATATGTATATATATATATATATATATATATATTTGTATGGTGGCCTTTGGGGGATCTTCAGAGCGAGCACTCCGGTATCCTAACGATCCACATTGCGAAGACGAAAATGTTGAGACATATCGAACAGAATGGCTCGGGATCCAGGGGCTTTAACTCGTAGATTAGACGTTAGTACATGAGCTGAGAAAAGGAAGCGGGAAGTGGGGTCAACTCCTTTTTGAAAGTGTACTCTGATTCATACCGACACAGGCTCATCATCGATTGCAGTTGCTTCTTCTCGATACTATCTCTCATGACTCTGGGGTTTCACGGCCTCAAACCTTCGAGTTTTGGATTTGGCCCAGGAACTCAGGGTCCAGGCCCGCGGGGCTTGGCTATGATGCACAGGGTCTAAGGGTTTAGTGTTTAGGGCCTTTAGGGCTCAGGGTTTCGTGTTTGGGGGCCCCTTGTGGTGTAGGAAGAATTTTTTCGGGTTTAGGATTTAGGGCTTAGGGCTTTTAGGGTTTAGGGTTTCAGGGTTGGTTCATTGAAGGACACGACATGAGTCCTTTACCGTCTTTATAGACACAATAAAATGTGTATATATACATATGGTCGCCCCCCCCCC